TGTCAAAGACAACAGCCGTCCTCTCCGGTTATGCTCTGACTCGTGTATCGATGGCTTCGGCGCCTCTTTAGAACAAGAACAGCTGGATGGCTCCGTGCGCCCCATCGTATACATCAGCCGTGCTACCCTCCCTGCGGAGCGCAACTGGACCGTTTTGGATCTGGAGGCTGGTGGGATTGTTTGGGCAATCAAACGCCTTCGCGGCTATCTGTGGTCGACCAAGTTCGTCATCTACTCGGACCACAAAGCCTTAGAGAGCATCGGCAAGGTGGGGGAACACAACGCACGGGTTCAACGATGGCTCGAGTTTCTGTCCAACTTCACGTATACGCTGAAGTATCGGAAAGGTTCAGCGAATGGTAACGCCGATTTTCTTTCGCGGATGCCTTTGCCGGCACAAGACACGGACAAGACTGGCCAGGATTGCATTGATGGTGTGTACCACGCGGTGTGTTCCTCATTCGAGCTTGCGGGCTTCACTACCACTCGTCCTCCACGCCGGACGTCGGTTTGGGTGGGCTCACCCCTCCTTGCTCTGCCGGAGTCTTCTCGCCCCCACCACTACAGCCTTCCGACTTTGGAGACTTTCGTCGACACGCCCCACGGATGATGGACGTCTCACCACCTTCGTCGTCTACTTGCACGGATCATCAGCGACCTTCGGGAGTCTGCGCAGTTTCCGGACTTGCCGGCTCTGCCCCGCGGCTGCCCTCTGTCGCATCTCGTTTGGTGCCCTCTGTTGCATCCTCAGCGAACAAATATGTGCACGTCTTGTCCTCGCTTCCGGAGCGTGGACCACNACATCAGGGACCTTCGGGAGTCTTCGCAGTTTCCGGACTTGCCGGCTCTGCCCCGCGGCTGCCCTCTGTCGCATCTCGTTTGGTGCCCTCTGTTGCATCCTCAGCGAACAAATATGTGCACGTCTTGTCCTCGCTTCCGGAGCGTGGACCACTCATCTCCTCACGGACTCGGGCCAAGACTACCACTGCTTCCGGTGGTACCGTCACCGACCCAGCTTACTTCGGACGTCAACCGCGGGCTACCATCGTTCCTCGAACGCCGTCGCCTGTCCGTCGCTCTAACAGGTTTCGTACAAAAACCAAGACCACCCGGGTCACCGCGCATTCGCCGCGTCCATCCGCGACGCTCGCGTCGGCATCTTCGTCGACTGTTTCCGCGCCACCGGCACCTTCGTCATCATCACCGTCTTCAGCGTGCTCTGTTTCGCCGGTTTCGCCTTCTTCACAGGTGTCACCCACGTTTTCGTCTCCCGCGGCGCCGTCGTCGCGCGTGGAGGCTGCGGCTGCTTCTGCAGCCGACACATCATCTTCTGCCGCCCCTTCCGCCGGATCGCCTGATTCTCTTTTGGAATCACTCGCCTTAGACACTGCTCATCTGCGGGACTGCGTCCAGAGTTTTAGAGCTGTGGATTGGGCTCGGGAACA